TTTCCAAAAGAGCCCATGGAAAATGTTAATATTTCTTAAATGACAGTTTGGATTTCATCCATAGCAGGGGTGTATACTAGAAATAGGCATTACTCATGTTTCTATTTTAGTTGTAATTGGCCTTAATATTAAGGAAATTTTTTTGATCACTTGTTATATGTACTGAACAATATTTTATTAAAAAAAAAAATAAACAATAAAATACTAAAAAATAAATAAGTACTAAAAAATAAACACTAAAATACTGAATAATAAACTAAACGGAACTTTTCTTTAAATAACAAAAAATATATATGAAAATTAAAATCTTAGCTTAACACTTTGGATGTGTTGTGTTCTAGACGGTCCTTAGCTAACTTAAGCCAATCTTGCATGGCACACCTAATCGTTCGGTCGGTTAAGTCGCTTGGTCCCCCCCATTCCTATAACCAAAATGTAACTCAATTTCAGGTGAAATATTTTCTAAAAGCTCCGAAGTTAACTTTGTATTATTTTCTTGGAAATTATTATAAATAATAGAATCAGATGAAATATTAATGTCCGAAGCCTTATTAATGTTATCTTCATTGGGAATAAAAAAAAATTGATTTGATTTTAAAGCATCTTGAACAATTTGTGCTATTTTTCTACGTAGATGACGCCGAGACAGGGTTATTTTAGACATTTTATTAAATAAAAAACAACTGATCAAAAAAAAGGAAAATATGTATGCTTGGAATAACTAGGTAGGCTGAAAAATATATATAAAAATAAGAGAAACAAAAGTAAGGTTATGTTTTGGAGTTTCTATAAGCATTTTACGCTCTGTACCTACCTATAAAACAGTAGTTGTTGTAAAATGCAACAATTATTAAAGGAGTAGCTAAATTAAAACATTAATAAAAACTTACCTATGCTTTTAATCAATATCGTAAAAGCCAGGACGCCAACGCAACATGCAATGCAACAAAACGTGTACACAAATGAAAATGGACGAACCTGCTGCCACAAATCATTCCCTACACTGAACAATAATACTACACATACGCATGAGTAGAAATGAGAAAAGACCGTACCACTAGTACGTCATCCTCCATCCGCCATCTAAAAATAGTTCCGTGTGTATGGGGAATTTGTTATAAGTATTACAGGTAATATAATTAAAAAAATATGAATGTAATGTAAATAAATATATCTATAAGCTTTTAGTTTAAATAAATCAAAATATATACTTATTATTTACTTATGTTTACTAGGTTCATCGTAAACTGGTAATATGCGTTTCAGGTGACTTATATTTAAATATTCAGCTAGCACATAACGTTGCCAAGACTTTCGGCGATGTTGCATTAAGGGAACGTAATAACATTACTATACAACGTAAATGCAACGTTCATGAGAAGTTGTTGAGGGAAATCAAAACCTCGCAAAACTTCTATTTGTTATTTACCTAGTTAACTTACCTGTGATGTTAAGACAACGTAATAAAGTAATTTGCTAAAAAGAACAAGAACTGTTTATGTCAATTGTCACTTGCCAATGTTTCTTGTCATATGTCATGTTTGTTTTTTTTTTAATTTGCAGAATTTCTTTTATAATTATTATTAAAAACATTTGAGTAGAAGTGGTAAGGATCCTCTATAAAATAGAAAACTATTTTCTGAACCATTTTCTTCGTTTTAGATTACAATGCCTGTTGTAAATTTTATCAAAATGTCCGGGAAAATTTGGATCATATTTTTGTAGTTTTCGACAGAATGAGCTGGAGCTGGTTTATAGAATTATAAAAATGTCCGGAAATATCTGATAACTTTGTTAGAAGCTAGATAGAAGGACTTGGTTTATGAAATTATAAAATGAGGACCTCTAAATACTTGAAATACCTTATGAAAGAGATATACAAAACTAAGTTGCCACGTTACTGGCCTATTTAAGGATGTAAGTGGTGGCAGTAATTCCTTTTTTTCTAGCTGGCTCTTAAAATTTAATGATTCGGAGAGTGAAGGTATTAATAAAAGTATATCTAACTGTGATTTGATATAATATCTCTTTTGGCTTATGCACAATTTACCCTGTGGTTTATAATCCCCTACAAATGGTTATTAAAGCTGTTAATGTGTTGATGGTATTAACGATACGATACAATTTATCTTATGGTCCCCCTTTTAGTACTAGAAGGTGCGCAGGTGAGTTTACATGTTTAATTTTTCAAGTTTATCTTAGGAATTATTTTAGGAATTTATCAAAACGAGCCACTACTTCTAAATTTTGAGAAATACTTGTGGCCGAGAAGTTATAAATCTTACTGCAATCAAACTGGTGATCGTTCAGGATGCGGTAATAACTGATGATGGCTTCTGGAGGTGCCAAAGCCTCAGCAAGGGACTGCAAGTAAATCATAGCTATATAAATTGAGATTCCTATGCATGTCGCTAACATGTCTGTTTTAGGTAATATTTCAGTTCAACAAAAGACCCACTAAGTTATTAGATACATAATTATTCATAAGATAATTACAGTAAATGATAAATAAAGGCCTAAAATAAAATAACACTATTCGTATGTGATTTTAGGGGAGCATGGAGAGGTTGAACTTATCACAGATTTAGGGGCCCTTCTTTTACAAGAAACAAAATCCGTAATATGCGATTCCACTTTACTAAGAATGTAACAAACTTCTGGGTAATAATATACTTAATCGAACTAAAAATACATTTTAAAAATATTGTATTTTAGATTTCCTTTGTACCTGAAAACATTATAAGAATTTTAGAAGCAAAATAAATACTACAGACTTGTCTAAAGAAGAATAGCTATATGACATCTGAAGTTTTATAAAAAGTCAATCTACATGGTACGTCTATATTAAAAAAAAACAACATCAGATTCAAACAAGTGCCAAACTAGAAGAAAATTTGAGAAAAATCACAGAAGATGCCCTCGAGCATACATCAGAATATCTTGCTAAAAAACATGAGTTGTTTTTTTTATAAAATCTTCATACTAACTTGGAAATCCATAATTATGCATAAAATTTGTGAAAATCTAAAAAAAAAATTATAGGTTTTATTTAAAACAACAAAGTAAGACAAAATTACCTAAAAATAAGTGCAACGATTTAAACTTGAGTATATTTTTTTACTTTCTATATAATTTCCTTCAATAATAGTTAAACAAGTAGGTCAATCTCTTTTTTATTCAATATGTAGTTAGAATAAAATAATAAACTAACAAAATAAAAATATATAAATATCTATACAAAAAAAAAAAGTTAAAAGGTTTGATTTTAAAAAGATGATATATCTAGTACAGGTAAGCAATCTGGAACCTCAGCTATCTCATGATATATACCTAAGTCATTGTTGCAATCATCTATTATTCACAGATCTAGTTTTTTTGCATCATATAATTGCCATCTTGAAACGTACCTTATATAAATATACTTTTGTACAATCGTTCACTGTTTAAGCTTCTAGTGAACCTTTGCAATATTGATACCTTATTATTACTATTAAGCAAATTTTGTCCAATCGTTCAGTGCTTTATAGGTGGCTTCTACTATACATGTGTAACTGCGTTTGTGATATACCTACCTCTACTTTTGTGATATTACTACTTGATTTCAAGAACATTTTAATAATAAATTTATATAAATATTTTGTTTTATTTGAAATTTCCATGTCTCGATTGAGTTTTTACTATACTTCAATTTCAGACTCTCCGTATTACATTACACAAAGAACAATATAGTGTGTCCATGGATGGACTTAATTTTACTTGTAAAAATATTTATTTTAAATTAAAAAAAGTTATTTTTCATAATTTCTTAATGTGAATCGAATTTATTTAACAAGTAAATTATAAAGAATTACTTTTTTAATTTAAAATAAATATTTTCACAAGTATAGTTAAGTCCATCCGTGGACACACTGTATAATGCAGTAGAACTAATTCACATTATAACATCTATAGAAAGTTTCAGAGCAACTTTCAGGGTAAGTACCGTAAAAGTGCTAGTGTGATGTTTTCCGAACTTCACTTTTTAACTTCTGTGAGATGTGCTATAAAAGTCTTGCCGTTGCGGACATTCGGTGGTTGCAGGGATATTAGGGTTACATTAAAAGTACATTGCATGTGAGCTTAAAGAGCCTAAAATTGCAGCTTATTAACGTAGATGGGATGTTTTTGTGCTAGCTGGGTAGGTATATTAACTAGTATCGACAAACAAAAGCGTTTAATTTATCTGTTAAAAAACGTTAAGTATGAAAATGGTAGATGGTAAACGTTTAAAAAATCAACCAAGACGAAATTTAAACGGGAATTATAAACTAAGAACACATATAATATTATGTAAATTTATACGAATTTAATTTAAATAAACCTAAACATATATTTAGGCCCACTGTATATAAATAGTTCATCGCAAACTAAAAATAGTCGTATATTGTTAACTATATTTAAACGTAGAAAAATTTACAATTATATACCATAGGATGTATATAAAAAAACGTATAATATATCGTTTAAAACACGGTATGTATAATAATAGTAAACTGTAAACATATACGGAATCAACCAATACCAAAATTAAACGAGTATTACGTATAAAATACGTAAGTTATAATAATGTGTGCTGCCTGGGACCATACAGACTTCCTGATTCACTATAGGTAAGGCCAGAAGCTTGTCACAAAATACTCTCACTAATTCACCCCCTCACAAGTTAATTATAACCCCTGAAGCCGACTGAGCTTGTGTGGGGAAAGGACGAATACTATTATTATTTGCCATATCGCTCCGGGGCGACTTACAGATGACTGATGCTACCATTTGATGACTAACAGGTGAGGAAAACCCGGAAAACCTTACCCACCATCATAATTATAATATTCATACATAATTATACAACCTAATTGCTCAAAGTTTATCTTGAACATAAATTTCAATGAACGTTGTTGCGCCCGGTTTTATATTACGTAAAAAGAAAAGGTTCTAAAATAAGGTAAATAAATAAATCAGTACCTACTTATACTATTTTATGCCATTACAGTTTTATAATAAACATTTATTTGATCAATACATCCAAAATAGAAAATATATTATTAGTGGTGGCCGTAAATAAGTGGATGATGCCGCTTAAATAACCTTCTTGATCTTTTTAATGCTAAATTTATTTTTCATTTCTCAGTCATTGCTGCAATCTGCCTCCTTATTCCGGATATAGGTATTTTCATACATCCAATTTCTCTATTTACCACTGGGTAACTCGTTGATTTGATTTTCAATTTAACACAGAAGTCCAAGATTGAATAATTATTATTAATAGTCATATCATGAAGTAAGCCGCAGATGTCCAATGGAGAGAGAAGTGAAAACGGGAGAGATGCTGAGAAGCAGAATTTTCTATTTGGTAGTATCTCTGAAAAAATAACATCATTATGTTACAAGACAAAAGCTACATCCAGTCAGACTAGTTGTAAGTAAGTTTATGTGTTATGATAAATATAGTAAACTGGTTATGACGTCATTGACCATTTATTGTCATTAATATGATTTGCTGATTATTCGATTTTCAATTTAAAACAGAAGTCCAAGTTTGATTAATTATTAATAATAGCCATATCATGAAGTAAGCCACAGATGTCCAATAATGGAGGCAGAAGTAAAAACGAGAGAGATACTAAGAAGCAGAATTTTCTGTTTGGTAGTATCTCTGAAAAATAATATCATTGTGATACAAGACAAACAGCTACATCCAGTCAGACTAGATGTAAGTTTATATGTTATGATAAATATAGTAAATTGGTTATTGGTTATTAATTATTGTCCTTAATATGATTTGCTGGTTATTAACGAGGCTCTGTAAAAAAACAGTGCCTTTTGAAATAACGCGTATCAAAACAAAATGGCGACAGTCAAAACAGCGCCCGAACAAATCAACACCAGAATGAAATAGCGTATATTAAAATACCGTCAGTCAAAATTGCGCCAGAATGAAACAGCGGACTTATCGAAATAGCGGCGAAGCGAACTAGGGCCTGATTTGAAACAGTGCTAATGGAAAAATTCACCATCATCCGAACGAGCCAAATTTACGAGTTTTTTAAACCATTTTAGACTCATTAAAACATATACAAAACGCTTAAAAATACTTGTTTTTACCTTAGAACTTCCAAATGTGTCGTCCAATTTCAATTTAAATGTTTTTCTAATTTTGACGTATAAAGTGACATTTGTAATCGCAGCAAGTATCAAAATATTTTATTTTACATAATCAGTTGCATAATGTTAAATATTATGAAACTGGTTACGAAAAATTCATCATGTCACTATTTAAGAAAATAAAAATAAAAAACATTTTTTGGTTTAATCAATACATACATTATTATTAAAAGTTGTTTCTATCAAAGAAAGGCAGGTTGAATTATAATATTAGAATTTGATTAAACTTGCAACCTTGTAATATTATTGTTTTTGTCCTTATTTTCTATTCTCAATCAACAGCCATCTTATAGTGTCATTTGAGAAATGTCTAAAAATACAGTATTGCCATTTTTAGGTTAAAAAAAGTAAAAAAATAAATAAAATAAATTACCTAAAACGTACGCGAGTCATCGGTAATGACTCAAAAAAATATTCATAAAATAAATAAAATTTACAAATTTAACTAACCTAACCTAACCTAATCCAACCCAACCCGTCCTAACCTGTACGGTTTGACCCAATGATAAGACCTGGAATTATTGCGTGAATTTTTTCAGATATCCTCCGGCTTTCCTTTGATTTTTCGCCTACATTGTTCGGCCTAGATCGAAGCCATCGTTATTTCATTAAGGCGTTGTTTCGTTTGAACGCTATTTTAATCAGGCGTTGTTTCTATACTCAGGCGCTATTGTATTTTGGCACTATGTTGATAGGCGTTTGATTTGGTGCTATTTTGATACAAGATATTTCGTCCGACGCTATTTCGTCAATCACTAGGAAAATAGTAAATGATAACAATACGCCAAATTAGTGTGACGCAAAAATGGTTCCACTGACAGTTAACTTCTAGCCACACTTTTAATAAAAATATCATTAAATTTGATATAACCGTTTTTACTAATTTTCATCCTAGCATGGTTCAGGCCCCCTCCCAAGAAAAGTTTTTCCGCTGCTAATACTAATTGGTAACTAAACCTAATGCATAGTATCTAATTACTTTCGGAATATATTTGAAAAAGTTCAAAACTATATAATTTTCGTAAACAAAATAAACAAAACGCACTTAAAAAGTCTACTGTCCCTGTAATTGTCAGTGGAACCCTAATTACATCAGCAGTAATTTAGGGATGGCACAAAAACTCACTACCCACATGGATTTCTAACTTTAATGCACAAATTACCAAATTTCCGACTATACTTTAATTTTTATTTATTATTAAAGATGCCTAAGTTAATGGTGTACAGCCAGTCCACATTACCTACCAAACGTACAATACGCTTACGACCAATACGTCCCAATATTATGTTTATGCATCAGCTAGACCCGTATTTATAAACAGATCTCAGCTGAGTCTCACTTGGTTGACTCGTCCTTGAACGAAAATCGAAGTTCGGTTATAACTCCTAGAGTTCCAGGTGGTTCCAGTATTGCACTAGAATTTAGAGATTGAGAGTAGCAAATCCGTAACTGTTAAGTACATTTAGGGATTTGTTACTACCCATATCTAATTTACGCAATTTAAGTTCAAGGACGACTCAGCTGAGTTGGACTCACCTAAGATCTGTTTATAAATACGGGCCTTAGTTTGTCTTATCAAACTCATATAGTGGGCAGTGTGAACGAACTTTTCTGGAACTCATTTTAACGAAACTATCGAAGTTGTACGTTCCATACTGCCTACCGCATTCACAAACGCTATGAAGGATATTCTACCGCCACGTCGTGTCGCTTGCTTACTTTGGAATACCGTGTGCTAAGCAGGCATGCCTATCCTATAAAGAGAATATGGCCACTTTTCGCATCAAACAAATTATTCCTGTACTGGCGTTCTAAAAATAAATGAATTATGATAGTCATTCAGCTCTTTAGAACCAACTTTTCCACAATAGACAATGTTAAAAATACATTCAACATAAACATTGTATTACTCCAAGTGTATGCAGCCTGCTCTAAACAATCAATTTTAGAAATTAATACCTGCAACACTGACGTACCTACATCACTCTCGAAGAGATACAAAAAATATACTCTTTAGCAAATCAAAATGCGACATAAAGAAATCACACGAAAGATAATTGGTCACAGACGTCACAGAAAGAGCATATGCATTTTTCTTATTTCTAAATCAGAACATTACATGATAGGAAAGAGCTCGGACCTATCAACAAAAAAAACAAGCCTTTGTTTTGGTGTTCTTTTTTTACAAAAATGTAAAGTGCACAATGATGTAATGTGAGAAGTTTGTGAGCAAGTAGAAAAAATGTAGTTATTAATTAACGTTATTTGTGATTCGTTGTGTTATCTTAAAATTATAAAGAATTTGTGATAATAAAAATATGTTTAGTTCTATGTGCGTACAAGAAAGCACTAGTTACACAACCAGCACCTCATCAATATATTTTATTGAATGGAAAACAGTCCACTTAGAATTTGTCCAGACAGGCTGTATTTTACGATGTGTTATATTTGGCAGCAAAACATGCCGGAATTAGCAAAGATAGTTATCGTCATCATACCCTAAAAGGTACTTCGACTGACAGAAGCCATGAAGACCATGCTGGATCTAAACCTTCTTCTCATTTTGCTGGAAAGGGAGGCCTGGATGGTCTCCTACAGATTCTTAGCCAAAGCCATAAAAAACTGCGATGGGACGAAATTAGGTTGAAAGTGAGATTAATAACCATCACATCCTCGACATGGTCTTAGATTCGCTAGTTCCAGACAGCATATAGAAAAGTCATACAGCGTTCTCATTCCAGAGAGAAGCGCATGGAGCAGGGGAGATAAAGAGCAGGGAATATAGATCCGCTGCCAGGTGGACTATGCGCTATAACGACGGGCTCCAAAATTGAAAAAGTAGTAATAGAGGGAGTTTTCGGCTAGAAGCTACCAGTTGACATATCAATAAATCTGGAGTTTTTAGCCACAATCTTCCAAGCAAAAAAATTGTTACTATAGAGCTGAGAATGAGAGAGTTAATTAATTTTCTCACCGCTAACAGGACTATAAAGAACTTTTCGGATAGCCGGGCAGCCCTCAAGGCCTTAAGCTTCAATCGAGTTGACTCAAAGCTGGTTTGGAAATGTATAAATATCCTTGAGAGTCTCGGTGCCCGTAATAAAGTTACTTTGATCTGGGTTCCACGACAAAGCCATGTAGATGGCAATGAAAAAGCCGTTACGCTCGCTAAAAGAGTTCATAAGAATAGAGGCGGTGCATAGAGCACTGCCAAAGCAATTATCTCAAAATGGACGGAGGGTGTAACGCTCACGAACTGGAAAGACTCTAGGGTTTACCCATTCGAAGTCTTTTATACCTAACCCTTCCATGAACGCCCCTGCTTGTATCCAGAAATAGAAGAAAATATCTACGCATTCTCACAGGACTGATAAAAGGATATTGTCGTCTGGGTAAGCACATGAGAAGAATTCCATGTACCTGCTACGCTTTGGAAATAACTAGGTTTCAGATCTTCGGATTCACCCAACTGGAACCTACCGACTTTAAACAAGTTTCACCTATTTTAACCATAGCCTTAATTAAAAGGTGTGGCTTGTACGGTGAACTATAAGTTAGACATGAGTCTCAATAAATTTGGGTCGTAGTGGAAGGTGATGAGATCATTCCATTCATTTTTAACCTAACCTAACATCCTGAAATTTTTAAGTACATACCTAACTTCATTTATTGAATAATTAAGTACCTATACCGATATCGACTTTCTTAGCATTTTGTTCTGAAACATTTTCTAAATGACATTCTTTGTTGCCTAGATTTAATTTTCATAAAATATTTTTGTTTTCTTTCTTAATAGATAGGTACATACGTATTAGCATAAACAGTATCGGGTATCGAACGCTTTTCAAAACTGCATTAGAAGAACAGAAAACGAATAATATCTGCGTTGCCAATTTATACGGCCCGACTTTAGAACTTTAGATCCGAGAACGCTGATAATATTCGTTTCCTACTCGTTCTTATGCTCTCTGTAGTTTTTACATGCACTTGTGCAAATCGTATTGGAAAACGTTCAGTGGGCGACACTGTATAAAATATTAGGTGTTTTTTAAATCAGGTAAAGCTATTGATTACGAAAAAAGTTGTAAATTCTAAAATAAATAACTGAGGTAATTATTGAGTAAAAAAGTATTAAAAGTATATTAAAAAGTAAATATTTTTGTTATTGTACTTAAATGGCATAAACAATGACCACA